ATATATATATATATATATATATATATATATATATATATATATATATATATATATATATATATATATATATATATATATTATGACTACCAGCATAACAATCTTTTATATCGATAATAAGCACCAGAAAGCAATGAAAACATAAAAAAGTGAAACATACTGAGGATTTGGAGGGCTGTTTAAGGTCCAGCCAGTGTTCTGTCTCCTCAGCACTCAGCTGCTGCAGGGAGAGGACACACTCGGCCACAGTACGTTTCCTGGGGTTGTTGGTTTGAAGCTGCAGAACCAAGGCGCTGCGTTGGAGCTGCTGCAGACGCAACGCAAACACAAAGGTTTCCATGATGGTGACATCCTGAAAAGGACCACAAAGGGGAGAAAATCTAAATTTTACTTTATTCTAAACCTGAAAACTTCACTGTACACTACATGGGAAATGTTTTATATCCTCTGAACATTTTTTTTACACATTTTCTTCACTTTATAACAAACTTTAGTGTGTTATGCATGGATTATGTGCAATGGACCAACTGAAAGTAGCTCATAGCTGTTGCTTAAAACAAAATGATAGTCATATGTAACAGAAGAAGTGAATCACTACTTTAAAGAAATAGTGTCCACTACATTTACGAGCGCAGTAGGTCTCTATCAGTTTTGCATGTCTTGTGACGGAAATTGGTTTCTTTGAGATTTACTCAGGTTCAGACTGTAAAGATAAACGTCCTTAAACAACAATTTTAAATTCTTTGCAAAAAAAATGTCAATAGCATTTGGGTCTGGACTTTGACTAAGCCATTCTAAAAGAGGGTTTTCTTTCTTAATTTGGCTCCCTCCAGCTCACTTCCAACTCTGACCTGCTTCCTTGTCTTCTCTGCAGGACCTCCTTAGTATCACTTGTTAATACCTTCCATTTATGTCACTATGTGTTGGTCTATCACATGAAATCATCAATTCGCAATAAAATAGAGTATGATTATGTTTGCAAGGCAAAAGATCAAGCTGCTGTTCAAACATTTTGTGACATCAGTACCTGATGATACTCTTTAAGAGAGGTCTTGAAGTGTATTGGTTTGGGGACAGTGATGATTGCTTTGATGCCAATCTTCTGTTCTTCATCTGGACGAACGCAGAGGTCTGAACACTGATCAAAATAAGAGAAAACAATATTTCAGTAAACATTGCTCTTAATACAGCAAACATTCTGGGGAAAAGAATCTTATGCAACGTGAAACCCTAATCTAATCAGAGGTGGGAATCAGGTATCGCTCATCTCTGTTTGATCCCCATTAATTTAGGGATGTGTGCTCTTTAGCCGGTGAAACGATTGACGAATATTTTGAAAGTGTTGAATTTAAAATGCACAACCATTTCTATCAAGATGTTTCTTATCAACAACAGCCTCAACTATTCCTTAAAAAAAACATCATTTTGCAGCAGATTGGCTAAGCCAAACTTAATAGAGTGCAGAGATCTGCAAACAGGGACCCTCATTGTGGAGGTACAAAGGATCCATTGAGGAGAGCTGCAGGAGAGAACAGTGGAGCTTTTGGTACTGAGGCACAGAAATCTTCCCGCGTGTAACCTTACCTGAACCAGGGTGATCCACACCTGCTCCACATCCTGCTGATATCTTAGCCGGACACAGACCTTCCCCAGTTCTTGCTCATCCCCCGACAAAGCTATAGATTCTAGCAAACCAAAAGGAAAAAAAACAACAACAAAAAACAGAGTCATTCCATTAAAAATATCAGCAAATGCAGCTTTTAAATTAACTAAAAGAAAAAAAAAAGAAAAACATGAGGATCTAAAAAAAGTGCACATTCTGTGCTCTCTAACACCTGCAAACAATCTCCTTGAAAAGTCCTCTAATTAGCAGACAGTACATAAGGGTGTGTATTTTCAGAAGGTAATGGGTCAATTAAGTTCAAAATGAACTTTATCCCAACACCTAAAACAAGCTGTGTGGGAGGGATCTAATTCTGAAACATGAACATCATTCTTTTTACACATGGTCTTGGCCGCATCATGCTGTGGGGATGCTTATCACCAGCAGGGACTGGGAAGTTGGTATGATTTAACAGGGAAACTGATGTATTTAGAATGTCACTGTCAGAATGGTGCATTTAGATGTCAGAAATAAGACATTTCAGGCATGGATCCAAAGATCATATGTTAGGAAAATATGTAGAAGTGCCAAACTAAACCTAGGGATCTGTTTTTAGAGGAGCCTGTAGGCAGTAAAATAGTGACAAAAGTTTAAGGGGGAGTTTGTATTTATCAGATAAAGTCAAGCTGACTTTACTTATAAGCTAATAATAGCAAAGTCAGTTAAACCAAAAAAAGAACGTTTCACACTTTTGCAAATAGGTCATGCCCACTTGTTTTAATCATTACTATATTAAATACTTTAGTCCAGGGGTATGACTGGAAGGTAATAAGGAAGGTTTCGTTAAAATAAAAATTTATTTCTGTTTGTAGACTTTAATACAGAAGCAGTTCAGATGTATTGTGTTGGAGTGGTGGATGTAATAAGGTTAAATTCTCAGGTTATTAAGCTTAAAAACAAAGCCCAATCCAGACAACATAGTTACCCAGACTCCTTTCCATGGAGGTGCTGCTGATGGTGCTGCACAGGGAGTCAATCCGCTGCATCGGAGATCAAAAACAGTTAGGATGATGTGAGACTTTAAAACAGTTTTAAGCAAAAAAGAAAGCACAGTCATCAAAACACTAGACTAATGTAGACATGCTGCGCTGTTGATGCTAACTGATACAGGTTACAGGGAAGGGAAAGACTCAGATTAGGTTTGCCTCCCACACCCAAAACAGGTTGAACTATACATGATGGAATAATCCGATCAAGACATTTCAGACGGTCAAGGCAAATGGATTATTTTACTGTTTTTAAGGGGAGCATTTTCACACACAAATTAAAGAACTCTTGAAAATAAATTGGACACATGAGTTATACTTTGTTAGTAGAGCCAAATACCACAGAAAAAGTCTCAACACCAATAAATTAATTTTAATTGGTCTATCCGGATGCATAACTTGTATTTTCTCATTTTATATAATAATGGAATATTTTCCTTTCATATTTATAATGTATTACAAATTCAACGGCATGCAATGCTGTTAAGTTTCAGGTTTTACAACTAAAATACCCCTGCTCACATGATGGCATGCTTACAATGATTAACTATATTCCTGAGAAACTGTGCAAACTTTGTGGCTATATTTAGTCCCACTATGTCTGTCGGAAAAACATGGTGTGAAAAGAGATTAGTTGTTTGTTTTCTTTTTTGCTTTTTGTATGTTTTTTAACAGTCTCACCTGCGTTCGACCCTGAGGGGCATTCAGATCAAGAGTGGAGCTGCTCCGTCTCTGCTGGTTGATCTGACCTGGAAAATAAAACCATTAAACTATATTCTTTTATTATATTTGTGCCACAGTGATAAAGTAAAAAAAAAAAATTGTGTTATATAAAATGTAAATTTTACATTTGGAAAAAAATATCAAACATAATCATTGGATAGCTGCATTATTGATTAAAATATGTTTCTCTGTCATACTTTGCATTTATGTTTTTTTATGAGCAACAGATAGAGGTGCAAGGTATAGTAATAATAAAATTTTAAAAAGTCAAACATTTTATATAGGTTTGATGCTACAAAATCGCACAGACGTATGTGCTTTGTTTCATGACTGTCTTTAAAACCTTAGAGGCAGAAATCAAGTTTCAGCGGCTTGGACCAAAGGAGGCTGGTACCTGTGCTCTGGGGGAGGTTTCTTTGCTGGTTTCTTCGGGTCGAACCGGGGGAAATGTATGCCAGCATGTTTCCCTGATGAAAGATGGACTCCGAGTTGTAAGGGAAGAAACTGGTGCCCAACAGGTCTGCTTTCCTCGCTGTAAAAGTTGACCTGGCTGAACCTGCAAAAAGTTTACATAGAACGATAACAGAGATGTTAGAGTGAAGAAAAATAGAACTGCTGAGCAAAGTGGAGTTTATTGTGCTGCTACAGCAGGAAATACAATATAAGCTTTACTGGAACTTGGCAACCAAATTTGAAGTTCTAAAATGTTGCAAAGCAGAAATGCAAAAAGATGTCTTTGTCATTAGTAAAGCGTACATATTTAAGCTGGGATCTTCAAAATCTCTGGAAAAGACCTTTATGATTTAGGCCTACTTTTAAATTAAAAAGAAAAAAAACTCAATAAAAATTAGAGAAGCAAAGAGCAAAGAATTGTCAAAAAAAAATTTTTTTCCCCAATTAGTTAATGCACTATAGGTAGGTTGCAACATATTTCGACAAAAAATATTTTAGGTGTAGATGTTGCTTAGAGAAAAGACTAAATTAGCTATTATGGACATCAGTAAGTCATTTAAAGTAAGATGAAGCAGAGTTATGTAACATGGTAGCTTACAGAAAATGAGATAATCTACAACTGTGAAACTAGCTCAGGCTGTTGGAGAGACAAAAAGAGGGAGATTCCCTGCTGATAACAGGAAGGCTCTGTCATGAAACAAGTTGGGTGTGAAAAAAATTGGCAGCCTTCTACAGGTTTGCTAGAGAAATGAACTGCATAGTTCACAACACACACACAGAAACTGGTCTTTCAGCTGCACCATCTGAGCTAACTTAGCTACCTGCTAATATAAGGACTCTGAGATTTTTTTTTATTTAAGAAACAGCAGAAATCAAAAATATAAATGAGAAAATGATCTTGATATTGCTTTTTTTAGTTCTGTTTCGTAACAAGTTGCCGAAATAACCATAACTGGTGTTTACAGGTCAAAAATTCACAACAAAATGTTGATTGGAAATACATTTTGTAATTCTGAACTGGACTTCTCTGGTTAGAAGCTGTCCATATTCCTTTCCAGCTTAGCTAGATAAATTTAAGAAAGGGCTCTCTATATATTTGGACTCTAAAATGACAACACATCACTGCCTTAAAGTGACACTTTTGGTTTATCCCTTTCCAAAAATACAAAGCAGCAAACAACAGCTCAGTTTAATTTGTGGGTACTGAAGCATCAACTTTGCTGTAACTCACTGATTGAACGAGTCAGCAAACAGCTTTGAGTCATCATCCTCTCACATTACACTGTCTGCATACAATAAATCCTTCAGCACCTCAAATGACTAATACAAACAGGCCAACATACTCTGCAGTCCTGGCTGTTGATTGGAGAACTTGCGGTTTGGGGGTTGAACATAAGTGGCCTTGAAGGTAGGCACGACAAACGGGACCTCTTTGCCACCAGGAGGCTGCTTGGATATAAGGTAATCTTGGGTTAACTGGCTCTTATTGCTGTCATTCAGCAGTTCTCCCGTGGCTGTTAACTCCTTTGGAGCCACCTTCATTTTGATCACTTGGAAACATAAAAACAAACCAGTCAGATGTGAAACCAGGTAAAAAAAAGATGGTGGATCTGCTGTTTTTCTGGCCATTACCTTACCTTGAGTCTCCTGTTCATTCGTGTTCCTCTTAGAGAGGTTCTTGCAACAGTTTTTTAAAAACTCCATGATAGCAATTGGGTCTAGAAGAAAAATGAATTCAAACATGGAGGTGACAGATTAGAAAGTAAACACAGGGATTTGAAATATAGCACATAAACATTGTTTTGCACATATCAACATGCTATATTTCTACTCCATCTATATTGATTAAGGCACAAAAAATCTAAGGACCAGCAGGAGGAACTAAGCCTCTGGTCAGGCATGCAGGGAAATCAAAATAATGCTGGGGATCCACCAAATGTTCAAAACCTGGAATCAGTCACATGGCAATGTAAATTAATATTGCACCTTTTCTTTTTCAAAAACCAGGTAGATACACATGAGATTTTTGATTTAAATCTTCTTACTTCCTCTAATTAATATGGGTGTAATAATTAGCTTTATTGTGCTATGATATCATATCAATTTGTTTTGAAAACAACAATAAATTTGCCATTACCTCAAAGTCTGCCAAAATATATGATTCTTTAAGTCTGTAATTGATATGACGGGGTTTTATTTATCAATAGAACTCATTTATTGACATGAATATCAATTCACAGAAACTTAATAAATACAAAGCAATAAAAAAAATATCACCGGTTTATATTCTGATGCACTACGGCTAGACCAGGATTCTGCAGCTTTTAGAATCAAAGCAACTTTTTTTTGCCCCTAGTCCAGCTGAATAAAAGTCAATTGGAGCCGCAAGTATTAAAAGATTTTTTTATAAAAGAAGACTATTTTGATTATTATTTTTTGTTAAATATATGCTACAGAACTACAATTTTATTTTTATGTTGGCTATTAGAATAAATAAAAACTTTTACATAAAAGGTATAAAATATTTAATCATAATTTCCAAGCTAATGACTGAAAAATAGATCTATAAACATTTTATTGGTTCTTTTTCATGGAGTTCTGTTGTTAAAAAGCTCTTTAATGATTTTTTTTCCCAATAGCTGAAGCTTCTAAAACTGGTATCATTTTAGCCACAACCAAGAACAGCTGTAGATGACCTTTAGACCCCCGGGGTAAAGCAAGCATTTCCTAAAGAAGGTGTACATTGAAAGGGATCAATGTACTTACACCCCTACCAGTTAGGAAGAGGCTTCGCAGCATTCGCTGCAGGTCCAGCAGGCGCTGTAACAGCTATTTCCCCACTACCACAAGACTGTTGAACCATTGAACTCTAAACTGGACTCTGCATCACACTTGCAACATTATTTTGCACTACGAACGTTGCTGAACTTTTATAGTCCTTTTAAATAGAACACAACTTAATGCACCATATTTATTTTGCAACGCACTGAACTTTTCATATTTATTTTGCACCATTATTTTAAATTGATTTATTTTCTCTTTATTTCACTGTTTTACTGCTATATGCGAGGGAATTTGGTTTTGTATACACTCTGTGCATACAAAATCACAATCAAGTCTGTCTAAGTCTAAATGAGGCTATTGATCTTTTGGATTATAAACAGTTGTGTTTAAGTGTGCAGGAAAAAAACCTGCTGATAATCACATAGACAAGGGGCTCTCAAAGTGTGGGTTGGAGCCCCTAGGAGGGTCGACAAACGCCAAGCTGGAGGTAAAAAGAGCTAAAAGGTCTAAAAGCATCAGGATGTCATCCCTGAGGTATATAGAGGGCAAAAGCACATCATGACAAATAAATGTAAATGACCCTTAAAGAAAAATAAATATACCATAAAATACGTACATGTAACTTTAATATATTGTTGTTTTTTTTTATCAAATACATGATTTTGATGTTACTCATTCATTGATAATAAAATGTAAAATCAATTACTCCAAGTTACATTTAAAATTATGAATTAATTAATTGTATGTCTTTAAAATAATAACTGAAAAATATATATACAATATTTTCAGTATATATTCATAGATAAATAAACATAAAGTGAAATAACTATATGAATGTTTAGGAGGATGGCAGTCACTGTTACTGTCATTTTGGGGTCAAAGACTAACATGCTTGGGAACCGCTGACCAAGACCACCCCCCCTTTCCATTGAGTGGTCTAACTTGGCATCCAAAAGAGTTTTTAAAAATGATGTTCTTTTTTAATTTATTTGTTCATGCTTATTTAATCTTTTTAGATATTTTCCAATTTAGCACCAGATTTCAATCACCACTTTCAAACCCTCTATCCCCCTTCTAACATAAGTTTCCCCCATCTGGAGGTGCCTCTCATTCCAAAGTGGAACATTTCTGATTGCTACTTCATACATGACTCTGCCAAGGTTTAATAAATATCTAATCACAACTTTAACTGGGAAAAGGTAATGTAAAAAGCAGAAACTCACCACTGTCATCAGTTGACTGAAAATAGTTCCAAGTTGTTTCTCTCTCAGCAGGTAGGGAGGAACAAGGAGGGGGGAATGCTACTAATCTCAGATCTCTGTTAGATTTTGTGTTACCAACAGGTTCCTCTCTCTCTCTCTCTCTCTCTCTCTCTCTCTCTGTCTCTCTGCCTGCCCCCTCCCTCCTGGTTCAGTCTGAGTTTCTCAGATTCCCGTATAGAGGCTAGACGCACTTCCTTCCCCGAACAGCAGCACTTTCTGTTTTACTTTTTATTTTCTCACTCTGTTTGCCCTCTGTGTGTGATTACATCTGCCTTCTTTGTCTCCTCCCTCTCGGATGGTATGTCAATAATGCTGACTTTATAGGTTCACACCTAAAAACATAATGTCAAGGAAATAGTCACCATTACTGGCCCCATCCACTGTTTATGCTGCACACAACACAAATGAGTACTTATTTAACACTGGCTTTACATGCAAAAAAGCTAAATAAAACATGTTATAGGATTGTTTAATAACGTTTTTTCTTGCAGCACTTGGCCATAACCATATGCATTGTTTTATGTATATATACACTCACTGGCCACTTTATTAGGTACACCTGTCCAACTGCTTGTTAACAGTTAATTT